TTTGTTATTTTCTTGTCGTTAAAAAAAATTTAGCCACCCTGCTTGTGAACGAAGGATAAACATAGCTTAAGAAGTCAAAGTGCAAGAATCATATTTTTAACCAACGTATGTGGAAAAATATGAAAAGAAAAGTAAAGAAAAAAAAAAATGAAACTTACAAGGACAAAATAATTTTAAATCTTCTGAAGAATATATCACAAGCTAAGAAAGTTATTTTTTCTTTTATTAAAAAGAATTTTATTAGTACCAACGTTGTACTTTAAGTCAAAGTGCATATATTTAACGTAAGCATTCGTTTTTACACATGCAAAACGGATTCACAACATTCTCACGTTGGATTTCTCGTTTCTTTTTTTTTTTTTTTTTTTTTTCGTTTCGATTCGCCGAATTATAGAGTGAAAAGTTCATCAGGCGTTAAAAAATTCGACTCTTTCGCGAGTTTTATATTGTCGAAAATATTTCATTTGCTTTGCTGCCACGAGTAGGATTTTTCATTAATCCGGACAATCAACAAATTCGCGTAGCGAGATGATTTGCAAATTGAATCGTTCCACACGTCTCGTAGGAAATAGAGGGGGAGGGGAAATCGCAAACATGTTTGCCGCAAGTAACGCAATACATTCTTATGCAATGTTTGCCTTCCGTTCTCTCGCGATCCTTTTAATCTGCAAATACCGCTTAGACGAAAAGTAGGAAAAGTCGTGTATGCAAACGACGTGAAAATTTATGATATTCGTACGTACGGTGACAATTAAAAAAGGTAGATTTATACATCTAAAGTTGTATAAATTTAACGAGATCATCTTAAAGAACGAAGCTTCCATTCGTGAGTTCGTTTCTTTTTAAAGATGATCTTATTACATTACATCTTGTAATGAAGGAGAAGGTTTTTTTCTCTTTTTTTCTCGAAAATTGTAAAAACTCAAATGTGTGTAAAAATGTTAAAGAAGAGAGTAATCAGAGTAACTAGATTCGTAACGTCATTTTGAAAAACTTGGAGTCTTCTCTCTTTATAATGAATTCTTGAAACACATTCTCCTCCGCCATTTTATTGAAGATTGAATGATTTGAGCGGAAAGGAATTCAAGAAATCTTAACATTTCATCCTGACGTTCAAAGTTCGATCAAATGATTTGAAGAAATATTAAAGGCTCGTTGTACAGAGAAAACATTTTTCAATGTTTCTACGCGCGTCTGAAATTTTGATAATTTAAATTGAAGAAAAAAGTATCCTCGCTTGCTCTACATGACGTAAAAAAAAAAAAAAAAAAAAAAAAAAAAAACAGACTCTATTCAAAGTAGCTTCACTTTGAGACCAAAGGGATATCAGTTCGAATTGTCAACGATTGTTCATTGTCGTTGGCTCAGTTATGTTCTTCTTCACTGCGGTTGCGATGACCACAGAATTTAAAAATCTTCGGTGATTCAACCTTTTGTGTCGAAAAATA